AAGAATTAAACAGTATACGGTATAAAAATTATAAATTCAAATGTAAATGACATTTGTAAATTTAATCATCCATGAATAAATTCTTAAGGCATTAGAGATTTGTCGGGCGAGTAAAACCGAAACAACAAGAATCCCTGTACGATCCCTTCGAACAATTGCAGCGACAGCAGTAGAAAACTGACAACAATTTCCATGCAAGTGTTTACGAGGCTGTTTATCAAGGAATTTTAAAAGCGTTCAAGCATTCGTTTATCCGCCACTGTCTTGCAGTTTCGAGAAAATTTACCGCGGCCCGGGCAAACAATTTTCACAATTCTCGGTTTAACATAGTGCCAGTACTCGTTTCTGTTTCGCTCGACCTACGATTGGCCAGGAAGCTTTTAGCTGGGAAGCAAATGGATCAACGTCGAGTGGACGAGTCACGATCGACCCGAAAGAAGAATTCCTCGGTATCTTAGACATCGTCGATGGCTATCGTGCATTTCGATGCACGACGCGCCGTTTCGTTGCTTGCGAAACAAACACCGACGATTTAAAAATACTTCGTGAATCTAAGGAGATCTCGCGAGCTTTCTCAAGCATCTCCCTTCTCCTTCTCTTGCCTCCTTAAACTTTTTCTTTACGTCAGGGATGATAATGGAATCGCACTTATCAAGTTTGCATCATTGCGTTCCAATAGCTATTCTCAGGAAGCTATAAGCCTGGTCCAGCCGGAAGTGACGGAAGCGAAGAGACGAATAACAATTTAATTGGACTTGCAGCCGTCTGGCAGTTTCTAAACTCACCTCTATTCGTAATTAGGCTTGCGGCCGGCGTTGGAAACCGTAGTTAAATAATTCAATTCGTCGTGTCTACGTGTGGCCTAAGGGCTTCAGGATGTCTGCCATCTGGTGTAACGAAATTTCTAGCCTATCGGTAAGGCTGGTATTAAGTAGCTGTCACAACATAAGTACGATCCATTGTACGATGGGTAACATGCTCGTAAATTATCGTGTCTACGTCTGTTGGATCGAATGCGTTGCGCGTCAACGACAACGATAAAACTGCTCCGCGAATCCCCTGAAGATAATGGTGTTTCCATTTCCATGTAACAAGATGATTAACATTTCATTCGGGGGGACTGAGCCGCGTTTCAGTCGCGGGTTTGAATTCGTGCAATATATTCGATGATAGGTAGCCTCTGGTTGAACAGCTCATTTTCGTCATGCTTTATCGCGAAACACGATAAATTAGTTATTATCCTGCTTGTTTCTATTCATAAGAAAACTTTCCATATGCAACTGAAGTCACATGTAATTGTACAGATCTAACGACGAATGTAACAAAGAGAAATAATCGGTTGGAATCATAACCCAAGCGCATAGACAAAAGCATTTTGACAAATTTATATGCTAATCCCGTGCGGTTGACGAGTCCGAGATTAACTTTGTGTTTCAGTTAGCAGTTGCCAGCTACGATTCTATTTTCTCCGGTTGCCCGACAAAGTCCGCTTGCCACTTCATTTACGGACGCACAGAAATCATGCGAACATTATTCCACCGGGTCAAAAGTTCAGCACAGATTGGGCAAATTTGATTCGTGGCTTGCCGGTTACTGGCTACGTGTCGAACTACCGGGTCAAAGAAATTTTTCCCCCCCAAAGTTTCCTTCGTTTCATTGTTACCCTGCGCGATTCCACTGCTCGCGACAGCCCGAACCTCCCCCGACAGGATTTCTAATTGAATTCTAATCGAATACGAAATTTATTAGTAAGATGAATACATATACTTCTGCTTCGTTTTGCGCTTCTAAAATAAATTTCCATTCACTCAACCTTTGTCTCGAGAGATTTAAAACTGGAGACACGATGCCAAAACTGGTTAGAAAGTTTCAAAATACATTTCTGAATACAAACGTAGAAAACAAACGTAGGAAAACGAAACCGAAACGTGTAAGAGAAATTTCAAGAGCAACTGATGTTGAAAGTGCAGCATTAAATCCTACGATTATCCCCTGCATAAATCGCAATTATTCGAGTCATCATCGTATTATTTGATCAAAGAATATTTATTTCGAAAATTTGAACCACAATTCCGATGATGCGATATCACAACGTCGAATTGTTTTATAAACAATTCTGTACGCGTTTTAACCAGTTCGGAAACAATGATTCGTTCCGGGCGAGTGAAACGCATAGAACTCCCTGTGATGACTGTAAATTTCATTTTTTTTCCCTCAGCTACTTTTATTTTTTGTTCTGTATGTTCGTTTCAGCGTAAATAGTGCAGTGGGATCGTTAACAATAACGCGTTTAAATATTAACTTTCACGAGGGGTAAACACTTGGCGCGTTGCTTGCAGAATATTAATTTAGCAAAAAAACATGGAAATACACAACGATAGTTTCGTGCGGTCGCGTACATCACGGCAAAGTGAATTGCACAATTTATACGTTTCTCGTCTATTCATTTCCATTTTTATCGGGTCACGCCGACCGTCCGGTTTTCTTCGCTCACCAGGCGCAATTAATGAACCGTGGTGGAGGGTGGCGTTACCGTGAGACGCCGATGAGGAATACTTTATTCATAAGGGAAAATCAGAGGGTTGTTTAAGCGACTATCGGTCTAAAGAACACTCGTACGGTTCGAATCAGATATTACAATCCTTGTTTCACCCTTTGTGGGCTACTGATGGTACGAAAATCGTTCTTCGAAAAATTGAAATGTTTAATTTTAGTCGAGGCACAGTAGCATGCGGATATATCATTATTTTTTTAAGCCTAACCTACATCTACGTATTTCCGTCCGGAAACACTAACGCAAACGTACAAAAACTCTGTAAACAGAATGTGAAAGCTATTTAGAAAAGCTCTCGAAAGCAAGAAAGGAAAAATATAGAACATTTCGTAAATATGTACAAAAAATTCAAACATCAAAAAAATGTATTACGTTTGCTTTAAACTTTATGGGCCGACACGGTGTCCCAAATTTTTCTGCTTACCATTCGACGATTTTTGTACAGCGTTAGAATGAGAAAAATTTGATATCGTCCAACTGGATACGATGCAGCGGAATATTTTCAGCGATCGAGTATAAAAGAAGCGAGGTTTTAATTTCAAATTTCTACCCTTAGCTGTTCGCGTTCGTATATAAATGATGCAATTGCCTTCGGTGCAGACGGGTGAAAATAAATTACGTTCCCCGGGCAGAATCCACCGCGTACAGGTTGGAACGATCGTGCAAATTTATTTGCGCGAAGAAGAAGGAAAGAGTGAGCCGACCGTCCTTCCCTCGTTTCGAAAAGGCCCGGCAATAAAGGGATCACTCGGGTCAGGTTAAGACGATTTATTGTCTACGTAAGTTTGCCATATTCGATAAAAAAGCCACCGTGTATCTGCTGCTACGCGTTACGAAGAAGGGTATGTGGACGGATTTGGAACAGATAAAGTCAATAATTCCTCGGGTTTGACGCCTGGATTATTGCCGGAGTCGCAGAAGACCGAGGACTCTAAGGCCATCCATTTGTCAAGGATCTTTTACGATTGAACTGTGCTATTTTGAGTCAACGAAATTTCGAATTTCTTTCGTTTAAGCTGCAATTTTTACCCTCCAAATACCGATTCACTCAAACGTGCGCCATTGTTAGAGACTCGTGTTTACGTTTTGTCGTTCATTTCAGTATGATGCTTTATGATTTAATAAAGCTCAAAAATAAGGCATGCTTATAATTCCGGAATACTTTGATTAAACAGAACAAAGTGGAGAAACAATCGAATTCATTTTCCAGTACAATACTGGGGAGAATAGCTCGCACCGTTTTAATAAATTTCATTTCACACGAAATTTGTATTATAGAAATACGCGTTAATACAGCTCGTTCCCCTTCTCTGTAGAATTTATCATATTAAATTTCATTTGCAAGGAATTCTTATTGATGATATTTGAATTTCCGTAGGAATCAAGTAATTACCGTAACAGAAATAATGAAATAGGTTTGCAGAGAAAATTAATTAGTAGTATATAACATTACGTTAACCCGCAATCTAGCGTAAACGTAATCGCAAATTTGTTTCAAGAATTTTATTCTGCTTTATTACCTGTAGATACAAGATATCAGCAGTCGAGAATTTCCCACCCTTAGGGTGCTGTAGAGCACCCTTACCACTTTCGTGTCACATCCTGTTATACCAACTACGACTGGTTTTCCACCACAGCGCTTTCAGTGGTAGGAATTAAAATAGGAAAAGGTTATTATTATGCCAGGGAAGAGCTTACACTCCGTCGGTGGTGTATCGCGAAGGATTGCCTCTCGGAAAATGTCGCGGGCGACCACTACTGGTTTTCCTTGAATGTTTCAACTTTTCCAACCTGGCATAGAAAAATTTGGCAAACGGTAGTAGCAGCGGGCGAATAATGAAGATATAAACCATGTTCGATGAAACCTGAGAATGTAACTTCAGCTTGTGCCCATTTGTTCGATACAAAGAAATTAAACAAATAAATGAACCTCTATCAGAATTTTCAAATAAAATTGAAAAAGATTAAGGGCTCGAGTGTGCTTGAACTACTTAAACACTAGCAAATGGCAGTTTCGAATATCCATCGCTACTCAGATTCTCATTAGCTTCCCGTTTCAACTTTGACCCAATTGTGAGAATATTCAATGTCTTGAGCAGGCGAATCAACTTTCTAGGAAAATCTACATCATCCCCCGTTTGTATTATACACTCTGACGCAAAGGATTTATTTTGCAAAATAAATAACTGCATAGGTAATTAAAAGATCTACTACTTGGGTGTATAACGTTATTCCAAATGATATTACATTCCATCGAAGGGTGATTTTAACCCCCTTACGGAGTGAAATTCTCTACGTTCTGAAATCGTTCTGTCACTTTCTGACAATTCCGCGAGGGTACATTAACGACGCGTTTTGCGTACATCGCGGAGAAAAAGCGACTGGTCGCGTGAGGAGAGCCAACGCGGGCTCGGCTCGAGGCTGAAAATAGCCGCGTAGAGCCGCTCGTTCGCTCGTTCCATTCCGCTCAGAACCGCTCGAGCCTCGATACGACTTTCGTCGGAGGGGCCCGACCGTCGACGAAGAACCGGAGGATCCAGCCACCCCGAAGGGCTGATACGACCCCTCTCGTTCGATCCAACTCGATCCCGTAAATCAAATTCGAAGAGTGTGTGCAACGTGTACGCGCAGTGAAGAAAAGTTTCTTTTTCTATACGAGGTGAATTTCAAATCCAGTTCGTTTCCTTCGACACGATTTTTTTTTTCTGGTCACAAGATAGTGAAGCAAAGAAGTGACTGAAAACTTGTGAAGTTCGAAGGTAATGCAGTGTGTGTTACCGGTTGCATTGCGGACACTCGGGAGACCAATCGACCTCGATGCATTTGCATACGATACGTACGCGAGAGTGTGTGTGCGCGTTCGAGCGTACGGGTGGGCGCGATACGCTCTGCAGGGAGGTTTCTCGAAAGTTTGTGGTAGTTAACGCGTTGATTACCATGTTTTAATTAAATCAAGTAATTAAAAAGGAAAGAAGATTCTAAATGACCACCATAATTAAATTGCCAATTGGATAATAAAGATTAAAACATTGAATTCTTAATGTATCTCTTGAAACGTACACATGTACATTGCAAAAGTAATGTTACTTTTTTTATATACACGACTATTTTTACTATGGCAATCAACGTGTTGATTACGAACCCGTCTCAAGCATTTTGACCCAGAAGTGCAACGTTATTCGATCGTGCAGATCGATCCAACGATAATAAGTACATCTCCGTTCGCGTTTACGATTCTCCACGGACTTGTCAGTGTATTCTGGCAGCGAGTTTTGCAAAATTGCGAAATCCTCGTTCCGAAACGAACATATTCACGCGACTTCGTCCCAATGACAAAGTGTATTTTCTCGCTTCTGCCCGTGAGAATTGTCAGAGGAAATATTTGACCGTTGATCAGTTGCCAGTCGCGTATCCATCCAATCGACCGTACGACTTCGTCTAGGCTCGAAGTCTCACGAGTCGGTTCCGATTTATCAAAAATCCTCGATATCCTTAACCTTCGATTAACGCGTTACAGTTTCTAATTCTAGTAGAAGCACGGCCAAGCGCACACGACGACTTCGTCGGGTGGTAAATGCATCTATTTCTGCCCCGTTGCTGGAAATAGATACCAGAATGAAATAGGTCCGGCTCGGTGTGCGTTTGTTCACGTCGACGAAAGTTTACGTTGACAACGATATTATTTAATTAGTCGATTAACGCTCGAACGGCATTCATTCTTGAATATCGATCGAAATGAACTACTTGTGTCGAATGTTAAAGAGAACAATTGTCTCCTTGCACTCGTTAGAACGTACTTCTCCAACTTAAATCGCGGCTAAGAAATAACTAGTTCATTGAGTCGTGTTTTAACGAGTTAAATTACTCCGGAAGTAACGTGGGAGATGACCGGCTGCTCGGAACTATTTTTACTTAAACCCATCGAGCGTTGGATTGTACATCTAAATATACGAGTTTCCAAGCTCTCGAGGCTTTCTCACTTTAATTGACGCACGTTCACGCATCGCGACAATTGTTACGGAAATAGGAAAACCGATAAATGCTTCGTAAACGATCGCTAACAATAATCGCATTGGCCATGTTAATTTTGTACCTGGTAGCAATTTTGCCTTGTTTATACGATGCAATCGGGAATCCGATTTCTATCGTGATTTCTATCAAACGTTTCGAAACACACGAGGAACGTTCACGATTCTAGGTCACCGTAATTACTTTTCTCAATTTCGCGTTCAGCTAAATTACGGCAAGATTTAAACAGATTGTTCTTTGCCATTGGAACAAGTTCTTTATTTCTTTCACAGCATCCCGTAATCGATGCTCGAAACGCTTCGAACAATACTGGATATCATTCAAAGTGGTGAAATATTATAATTGTTTTGAGAACTCTTGAAATCGTTCATAGTGATTCAATTCATTACTGAAAATATGAGAAATATTAGATATTTCACATTTTTTAATTTCTTTATTTGAAAGTTGTCGGGAACCTTGAAATCTTCAAACTTCTCTACCTGGGAAGTTTCTCAAGATGATTTTTACTTCTAAGCGTAGATGCAACGTAAGAGTAAGAACGTGTAATTGGACTAAAAATATATCGTGAAACGGAGATCGTCGTAAAAGTGATGAAAGTGCTCTTTCAATTTCGATGCTGCCATGTCATCTCCGAACTCATCGATCTTCTTGAGATTTCACCCTAGCCCAGATTCTCCAAGGTCCTGCCGTTATTTGGCGCAATTCGAAGCGCACAAACAATTGGAATCGTTCGATCCTTCGGCATAGTAAAAAAACACATCGTGTAACGGGGTAGGTCGCGCGTAAATGCGCATCAAATGAATTTGATATTACTACCCCATTTTCTGATTGATCGTTCTTCAAACTATACGAGATTTTGTCCCACCCCAAAATTTCTAAGATCCTAATATCACGCGAAGCAATTCGGAGTAACCGAAGTGACCAGAATCGCTTAATTACCAGTATCGTAATAAAAACAATGCAGAAGGGGGTGGTCGGAGCGTATCGCGTCCGTAACGACGGAATTTCGAGCATGCGGAATTTGATTGAAGTAAAGGTGCGCTTGCGCAGGGTCTGTCGAGGGCGCGAGGCAACCACCAGCAAGTAGTAGTGGTTGATCATTGCTGCACCACCGGAGGTTAGGACGTCGTCGGCACCCCGTGGTCGTCGTCGTCGTCGTCGTCGTCGTAGTTGTGCTCGTGGTTTTGCACGGGGCTAACAGTGTCACCGGAGGGAGAAACATGTTGAATCGTGACTGTGTGTGACCATCCGCGACCCCATTGACTACGAGGCTGGCTTGGTCGAGGAGTAACGCGAGAACAGGGGCAAAGATCAGAAGAGAAAATTGCAAGAGGAAGGTGGTGAACGAGCTCGTCGAGGTTACGTGAAAACGTACCGACGGCATGGCTGACAGTGAGGGTGGATCCGAGCAGGATGACGTATCATTCCTTCGCACGGTGAGTCTCGATTGAAATCTACCCTTATCATTTATTGATATTCCAGAAGGCATCTTCTGCTGCGCAGTTGGATTCCCTATGAACGCTGATCCGTCGAGGATTACCAGAACTCTATGAATACTAAATAAAGTGGAAATCGTGAGATAGTTTCGTCGCGCGCATACAAGCTCGCTCTATCACGTGGGAGCGTCGAAAAGCGCGGGCCTTTCATAAGAAGGATAATCAAAGTTATCTGATAACAAGCCCATCTAAGCCCGTATGAAAATATAGTTCAAGTTTAACACGATCGAATAAATCCATCTTTTAATCGATGTTTGTGACGGGAATGTTTACGGTGATGTCGTCATCGTCGCCTATAAGACTCGTAGTCTTGCATGAAATCGCGATTTTCTGTAGCAAAGGACGAGTAACAAGGGGTAGAGGAATTCAATGAATCGTGGAAGCACTTAAAGTTCTCCCGCCGAACGACCTTGACCTCGTTCCCGACCCGCAAGGATCAAGCGGGTAGCATAGTGACCGAGAGGGTAACAGTAGCCTTGAGCTTCCGTAAGCTGCACGCGCTCGATGCTCGCGACTCTTCCATACCTACCCCCTAATAAAAATACATCTATGATGCACGCAGTCCTCTTACCGGAATCGTTTACAAGCTGACACACGCGTGTGTCCATCGATTTTTTTTTCCTTTCTTCATTGTTCTGCTAACAACAGAACCGTCTATATTTTCCTCGATGAAATACAAATTTGTTTACCGCTTAAATAAAAAGGGAGATACATGATCGTACAGGACGAAGGTTTCAGAACTGTGACCTTTGAATTTTCTTTGATGTTTCTATCGTTTCAAGATAAATACAGGACTTGTTAACACTTTCTTCCGTGCCTCGAACGTCGTCGTTTCACTCTCTCTGCGATTTTGATATATTTCTCTTTGTCGCATTCACTTAGCGCGCACCATTTCTTGCCTGCTTCTCGAGCCACTTCCGTTACGCGTTTCCCGTGGCTTTTGAACCACATTTCTAAGTAAAAGATGATGAAAGGATTAGACGACAGAACCAATCGTCTTTTACGTCTTCGTTTGGGCTTGCAGATGCACTTCTTCCTCTTGCGACTTCTCTTCCTCCTCCTTCTCCTTCGGGGTCCGCACCCTCTGAATTTCGGACGGCATTTTTCGCTCACTTCAACGTCCATTCCGGGGCTAACTTCCTGTTGAGTATCCTGTGGCATTTGTTTGCTAAAGTGTCAAATTATGAATTCGTAAAACTTAAAATTGTTAAGAAGTTAGATGCTTATTATTCTTAAGGAGATAGTTCAAAAAAACTAATTTGTAACCAAGGGTAGGAAAGCTTTTTGAGGAGTATATTTTTTTATTCTAAGAAAAGAATGGTAAAAACTCCAAGGTCTCCGAGAAAATTATTGTGCCACGAAGAAATACCTCAGCAATAAACAACAATCACGAAGAGTGACAAAGAAAATTACACGTTAATGAAATTACACGATATCATGTATCTCTGTTCGTACTTTCGGTTACAAGGTGTTAAACCAGCATAAACTCCATTCGTGACTTGGAAAAATTATGCTCTATCGATCCTTTCTCGAATTTCCTGCTGTTCTTAGACGGAATGCAAAATGTTAAGAGAAAAAATATACAACGTGCTTGTACGTCAGGTGTTCCCTAGAGAGATGACCAGTGGGCCACGAATCGATTATGCAGGGTTAAATTCAACCATATGGCACACGTCGATTCGTTGTTCACGAAGTCGTGACTCGATAGACTTCGATCCAAAGCGATTTGATTAAAAGTTAAGCGGTCGCTTTGGTCTGCTACGACAATGTTACGTTTTCGTGTGACATTTAAGAACAATGGTTATCGGATTTCATAAACCTCACCTGTCTTCGTTGAAGTTTTCATAACCGTATGTTTTTTCCATAATTCAGTGGCTGTGATTTGAGGATGGGTTTCACTTGAAAATTTAATGTATATGTCTGAAATTTAGATTGCCTAAATGGCGGAAAACATTTGAAGTTTTCCTCGATCAACTTCACATGATAAAAAATTCTCGTTACGTCGATTGGAATCAACATCGATACGAATACATCAAATTTCAGTCCTTAAGAATAAACGACGCGAAAATAAAATAATTTTCCAATTGTTCCAACTGCACCACTTTTAATCTCAAAAGCTCGCGTATCAAAGGCCATTAGTAGATGTAACTGTTTCCAGTTCGACTACAAAGATATTCGAGTGTACGAACTTAGGCAAAACACCTCGAGGAAGATAAAGAAGGGGTAGAGAAATTGTGTCGATGGTTCGCTGCTCTATAATGATCATTAATTAAGTCAACAACCGTTGGCATCGTGCGACGCCACTCAAAATTACCCTCCACTTTCGTGTAGCACTTGCACTCGTTTCACTCGAGCAGCGAGCATTACGAAGACGGTAATTAAAAATAACAATTAATTGCTCATTCGGATGAGGCGCGTCGTGTTTCCTTGCCACGTTGCTTCTCGTCGTTCTTCTTTAATGAGCGTGATGGCAGTTAATTTTAGCGATCGACGTTGCATTGTCTCGTATGATCAATACTAGCCTGTATAGGAACGGTTCTTTATTAAAGATTTCATGTCGAAAAGCAGCCTTTTAACTCAACAGCGTTGCGAGCTCGCGAGTGCTTACAGGTAATCGCGAATGCAAGGAAACTGCCATTATCGTTGCTAAAGGGTGTTTTGTAATTGGTGACACGAGCTGATGTTAGATTTCTCTTTTAACACTTGGACAACTCTATGATTTTTTTAATCAAGGCTTCTGGTTTTACCCATCGCGAAGTACCATTTAATATGATAAGAATAATGATAGAAAAATTCATGTACGAAAGTCACGACGATGAAAAAGTTAATACACATTTTGGCAACCGGTATTATTAAAACAATTAATGGAACGCGAGGTACGTGTCAGCAGTAGCGAAAGTGTTAAGAAGCTTATGCAACATGAAACAGTAACTTTGCGTGCGATTGATTAATCTGTTACAAATGACATTTATAAAGACATCCAATTATAAAATCAAGCAACAAATGTAGCATGGCGCATAAGAATACGTATAGCATGTTATACTCGATTGAGAGAGTCGACAGTTATTAGAGTTTCTAATTAAGTAATTTTCCTAGATGTTTTGGTGTGACAGTAATGCAAACGTAAATGGCACACAGATACATTTTCGTACAACCCGGTACCATGTTATGTTAATTCAGCGTCGAACAGTGCGCTACTTATACGTCAGGCGTGCATTTAGGAAGGGACACGCATGCAACGCGACAAGTATGCAAAAATAATAGAACAGAACGGTCGTTTCGCGATGCTGGCGTGAATTGTAAATTAAGAAAAATGACACGGAATTTCGAGCGATACGCGACACGACAGGTAGCAGCGATAGAAATAACCTTGTTACGTTACGCCGTTCTCCATCGATTCTAATCACACTTACACGATCGTGTAATCGCGTTAACCTTTTTGTACCAGATTATATCAACGGCATGACGAAACAAATCAAAGTTAAATTATCATTTAGATTCCTACAGATTGTTGAATAATCGCTTGGTTAACAGGTTGAGATATTATTTCGAACAATCGCGCGATTACGAACACGAAAGGGAGATGACTCATCCATGGCCGAAGTTTTAAATTGTCTCTTAAGTAATACTCAACTTCTGCGTAGTAAAAACAATAGCTTGTACGAAATGTTCGAAAGCGTTTCCTGGTATGCTTGTGTGAACATGGTTCAAGCATTCCTCAGACGATCCAAATCGGTTCTGGCAGCGTGCGTAACATCTGCTCTTTGGCTCATGTCGTATTTCAACGTTTCGCGAAGGTCCTCGTGTTTCCAACGCATCAATGAAACATTTTTTCATTGTAACCTCATCTCACACCTCCTATCCTTCGTTTTATGAAAAATCTGAGACTGATCAGCTGTTCTGGGGAACAGAAGAAATTGTAATGCAAGGAAGAAACTGAAGCTTGAAATTGAATTTGTAGGAGGATATGGTGTGTCTATCCTGCACAGCAACTGGTGAAAGAGTTTGCCTCGCGGCCGAGGGTTTTGGTAATCGACACTGCTTTCTCGAAAACATCGCAGACAAGGTATTCCCTCCCAAATAATTTAGGGAACATATTTATAATTTACCCCTAGTAGGAAAATTTTACTTTTCTCTGAATTTTCATTTTTATCGACAAAAGTCTTGAATTTATATAATATACAGAAACTTTCATAAGTAGATCAACATTTTTTTTCTGATTTTTTAGAAGCTTTAAAACAATGAAACGACCCAATTTGCCTACAGAAAATTAGCACTTTGAGTGGCACGTTAAATGAATTGAAGCCTTCACTGAACAGTAATGTATTCCGCAGTTAACTATAGGTACTTTTAAAGTACTTTGTAGAGCAATTTATAATTAGATAGTTTCTTATAAAAGGAATAACTGATCTTTGTGAAAATTTCTGTGTCACCTGTGTATAGGTTAGAGTCAAACTGTTAAAGCAAACAAATAGAAAAGTTGCAAAGTTCACTAGAAGAAGTAATTTTAATTTCGAACTTTTACTTGCGGTTGTAGAATATTCCACCGGATCTGTCGCAATGCGTATTCGTAATAGAACAGGCTCTCTCGGTGAGAGCTTTGCAGGAATTGGTTACTGCTGCTGGTTCCGAGACGGTAACGTACCATCCCTTTATTAATTTACATCGTACAAAATATTCTCATCGAACTCCACGTTAACATCGGTAAAGGAAAGCTTCGTGAAACGATTCTACGACTCTTTTTGTCTATCGATACTGCGTGCTTTTTTTCCTGTGCAAACGTTCTCGTCTTATTTTACATGTATTTTTTTAACACAATCACAGTATTTTCGTTAACGCGTTACGGATCAGACTCTTCTCCTCTGCATCGTGCGTGAATCGATCGTTCGACTGCATACGAGTGGGCCATAAAGTTTGTCTGTTTTCATGTACCGAATGCACAAAAGCTGTCCTCTTTTTCTTTGTACATACAAACGTGTATCCACTAAAACTGAACGATGCACTTAGAAAGTAGATACTCGCGGTTTTTCACCTATCTGTTCGCTGCTGAACAGTTTTACGTTTTTTCTATGGAGATAAAGATACAGAAAGAAAGAATTTTCTGAATGCATCCGCACGCACCTTTGTCCAAATAATTGTGGCATGCGTCCATGTAGTCGTGTAACAAAATCAAGCAAATTGTCTTTTCGTTTATTCGTTATTGTCTTCGTCCCCTTATGTTGTCCGATTTTCGTTCTTTTTCTCTTTTTGGTTGCGCATTAAAGCGTCGCAAACCAAAAATCATCTATGTATCACACTCGACCTATTCTCGAAAGACATCGTAGACGTGTTTGTCATTTCACTATCATTCTATCTTCTCTCTCTACTCTACTCTACTCTACTCTACTCTACTCTACTCTACTCTACGTATTCGTGTTTCGCAAGAAGAAGATTTACAACTCTTATGTTTCTGTTTCCAGCAGCAAGAAAATGTAGTAAGTATACCTTTCGTTATCACTTCAGGACACCGTTTATGTTCATGCTTCTGGGGTAACTTCGTTTGCTCTCCATTCTTCTTTATTTCTTTACTATGTTTCTGTTCTGTTGCGCTTTTTACTCTAATTGACACACACTTGCTTGTATTTGTATGACACCACCACTTCGTTCAATTAACCCCCTGCGAGGGTAACCGAGTATCTGGGTACACATTGAAGCTTCAATTGCCTGGTCACAGGATCGTAGTAGCAGTAATAATTTTAATTGAAAACGGGTACCCAGATACACAGTTGCACACCCAAAATTAACGAGTAACACGTTCGTTTTATACGTTAAATCTTTGTGAACGAACATACGAGCATGCAACATCCGTCTGTCATTATATGTATATTCGTTGGCAATCGTAGTTTATGGCCTCCTCTTATCGGTATGCTTGTTCACCTTGTTTTATTTATCTTTCGTCTTAATCGGTTTTAGATGTACAAGTACGTCAGGCCTAATATAGACCCGTCATAATTTTTCTACAACGTCTGTTCATGATTTTAGGGAAAGGGCACTGGATCCGGGCACAGAACGTTGTTATACGGTAACGCTATTCTGTTGAGGCATCAGAACAGCGATATGGTAAGTAATTAGCTTTTATTTAAAAATGTCTATCAACGTGTTTCTACAAGCCCGAATAACTCGTTGCACCCCCTCACAGTATTTGGCTTGTTTATCGACCAGCTCTTCCAACGACAAGTTGGCTTTCGACGTGGGTCTACAACAGCATTCTCAAGGTTTGACGATGAGATACAATTTAATTAGAACTAATCCCCAATTGACTGCGATGATTTCACGTGTACGATAAATTTGTTAGGGGAGGCTTGTTGGTGGACGGTGCATCCGGCATCGAAACAGAGATCCGAGGGTGAGAAGGTTCGAGTCGGTGATGATCTTATTTTAGTATCTGTAGCTACTGAAAGATATTTGGTAAGCATATTTTCTGGTTGACGTAAACAATAATTGGATATCACTTTGCTAATCGATCGACGTGTCGATGTTTCTTCAGCACACCACGAAAGAGAACGATTTATCGGTGGTGAACGCCTCGTTTCACGTGACACATTGGTCGGTTCAACCGTACGGTACTGGAATTAGTCGAATGAAATATGTCGGTTACGTGTTCGGTGGTGATGTGCTCCGATTTTTCCACGGCGGCGACGAATGCCTCACAATACCGTCTACGTGGAGTACGGCGCCAAGTCAAAAGTAAATTTTACCTCGATCATTTTAACCCTCTGACCGTAAAAATTCAAACCTCCTTCTTTCCTATCTTTTTAAGGGATTTTCTTTTAAACCGTGCGAAAATCATGAGTCACTTCCCTCCAGTAAAGAAATAATCGTTTTTACCGATAATTCGATTAGTATGAGCTCGAATGGCTCAGCAAGGGCTTCAGGTATTTAATACGCTGTTTACAGTATAGTGATCTACGAGGGTGGCAGTGTAATGAGCCAGGCACGTTCATTATGGAGGCTGGAATTAGCTAGAACGAAATGGGCAGGTGGATTCATCAATTGGTTGCATCCGATGAGGATCAGACACTTGACCACGGGACGTTACCTTGGGGTGAAAGAAAACAATGAACTCTACCTGGTCGATAGGTGAGCACTTGTTGTTAGGAAAGTTCAAAGGTCGCGTCGAACGTGACAATAATTTGACGTAATGAATTTAAAGGAACGAGGGGACGATAGAGACGTCGACGTTCTGGTTACGACAAGAAAAAGATGACCAGAAGATCATTCTTGAGGACAAGGATCTCGAAGTTATCGGTATGCCGATCATCAAATACGGTGACTCGACTGTTATTATGCAACATGCCACTACTTGTCTCTGGGTCTCGTACAAGGTGAATATGAAGATACCTTTGTAATTCATTCATTTTGTATTCGATACTTCAACGTGGGAACGAGAAATTTATTTCAAAATGTTTTGTTGCAAATTTGACAATTTACAAATTACTGGCTCGTGTTTAGAAGACACACAAATATCAGGTATTCGTGGCTCTGATAAGTAGCTTTCTAATTTATCATTCTATTCCATTTCTATGTAGTGTAATAATTGCAATTTGGAAATTAGTAATTTTGCTGACCTCTCAAATGCAAATCTATCAGTAGGCTTCGTTTACGTAGTCGCTAAAATGGTACCTATGAGTTGTCGTTGAAATGACAAAGATTGTAAGGTTCATAATTTATCAAATTTTATCTTAACGTTCACGTAGTCGTACGAGACGAAGAAAAAGGGCGTGGGTAAAGTAGAAGAGAAACAAGCGGTCCTGCACGAGGAAGGAAAAATGGACGACGGTTTGGACTTCTCTCGTTCTCAAGAGGAAGAATCTCGTACGGCTCGTGTGATCCGAAAGTGTAGCAGCTTGTTCACCCAGTTCATCACGTGAGTGTCTATCAATAAATCCTAACGGATTCGTTCACATTAAAATATGGGATTAAAAATGGTAGAGGCTTGGATGGAACCGTACAGAGCCGTTACAAACCGAATGATAAATTAACGTGGACAAGCAGATCGCTAAAAGGACCGAATATGTTTTAGAGGCCTAGAGACGCTGCAAGTAGATAGAAGAGCGTCTATGTTCTTCCAAAATGTGAATCTGAACGAAATGGTGATGTGTCTGGAAGACTTGATTAATTATTTTGCTCAGCCTGAAGACGACATGGGTAAGCAACTCGTTCAAACTGTTCGATGTAGAACAAATGAACGTTTAATTAATGAACGCCTGATACCTATGTTCCAGAACACGAGGAAAAACAAAACAGATTTCGTGCTCTGAGAAATCGTCAGGATCTGTTCCAAGAGGAAGGCATACTGAATCTGATCCTGGAGGCCATCGACAAGATTAACGTCATCACGTCGCAAGGTTTTCTGGTGGCGCTTTCGGGGGACGAGAGCGGTCAAGCATGGGACCAAATATCCGGATACTTGTATCAATTATTGGCAGCTATCATCAAAGGAAACCACACCAACTGCGCGCAATTCGCTAACAGCAATCGACTGAACTGGCTGTTTAGTCGATTGGGTTCGCAAGCTTCCAGCGAGGGCACCGGAATGTTGGATGTGCTTCACTGTGTACTTATCGACTCGCCTGAAGCTTTAAACATGATGAGAGTGAGCATACTAATATTCGAAGTTCTTCGAAATTTCATTTAAAAAAAATATTCTTATTGATATGCTTTGTCTTTCTAGGACGAACACATTAAAGTCATCATCTCCTTGCTTGAGAAACACGGGAGGGACCCAAAAGTCTTGGACGTCCTCTGCTCACTTTGCGTGGGTAATGGCGTGGCAGTTCGTTCGTCGCAAAACAACATCTGCGACTTCTTGCTACCTGGGAAGAATCTTCTGCTTCAAACACAGCTGGTCGATCACGTCGCCAGTATCAGGCCGAATATATTCGTCGGTAGAGTCGAAGGTTCTGCCCTTTATCAGAAATGGTACTTCGAAGTTACCGTCGATCACATCGAGCAAACGACACACATGATGCCTCACTTGAGGATCGGTTGGGCGAACACCTCGGGGTACGATGACTCGTAATACTCTTCTTCAAAACAAGTAATCAATTTTCTAATTTAATTGTGTCTTTCTTGGATAGGTATATGCCATACCCTGGTGGTGGTGAGAAATGGGGAGGAAACGGCGTTGGCGACGACCTCTATTCGTTCGGTTTCGACGGTGGGTTTTTGTGGACAGGTGGCAGAAGGACCCAAGTGGTTCAGGAGGCCAATGAACCGTACATCAGAAAGAGCGACGTGATCGGTTGTGCGTTGGATTTAACAGTACCCATCATAACTTTTACTTTCAACGGTGCACCCATCATGGGATCCTTCAGAAACTTCAACCTGGATGGCATGTTCTTCCCTGCGATCAGCTGTTCTTCTAAATTGTCCTGCAGATTCCTTTTAGGTGGTGATCACGGTCGACTCAAGTTTCAACCACCTGAAGAATTCTCACCCTTGGTAGAAAGCCTGCTACCTCATCAGATTTTGTCTCTAGACCCCTGCTTCTACTTTGGCAACATGAACAAGGTGGTGTTAGCAGGACCATGGCTGGTCGAAGATGACACTGCTTTTGTTCCTGCGCCCGTTGACACATCGATGATCAATCTACCATCTTACGTTGAACAAATCAGGGACAAATTAGCTGAGAACATTCATGAGATGTGGGCGATGAACAAGATCGAGGCTGGCTGGATCTTCGGTGAACACAGAGACGATATGAGGAAGATTCATCCGTGTATCGTTCAGTTCGAACGACTGCCAGCTGCAGAGAAACGTTACGACACCCAGCTGGCTGTGCAGACGTTGAAAACTATTTTGGCACTCGGTTATTACATCACCATGGACAAACCACCGTCTAGAATCAAAACCTTGAGGCTGCCTAACGAACCGTTCCTACAGAGCAGCGGATACAAACCGGCGCCTCTCGATCTTAGCGCCATCACACTCACCCCCAAGATGGAGGAGCTCGTGGATCAATTGGCAGAGAACACTCACAATTTGTGGGCTAAGGAGAGGATCAGTCAAGGTTGGACCTATGGACTGAACGAGGATTCCGAGATGAGACGAAGTCCACATTTGGTACCTTATCCAAAGGTTGATGAAGCTATCAAGAAAGCTAATCGTGATACAGCAAGCGAAACAGTGAGGACACTTTTGGTGTATGGGTATATGTTGGAGCCCCCAACTGGAGAACAACACGAAGGTAAATGTCGAATCATTATATAACTGAAATAATCAAATTAATCATTGAATCTATCTTGTAGCTTTACTACTGGAGGCGAGCAGACTACGACAATTATACTTCAGGACTTATCGCGTTGAGAAACATTACGCAGTCAGCAGTGGAAAATGGTACTTCGAATTCGAGGTACTCACTGCTGGTCCCATGCGAGTTGGATGGGCGAAAGCGGATTGTATGCCCGGAAGTATGCTGGGAAGCGACGAGAGCACATGGGCATTCGATGGTTACAACGTAAGTGACCATCGAGCATTTTAGCATTTTAATCTTTTGAACGTGAAGATGAATGAGAATTTTGAGAAACGAGTTGCGTGGAATAAATCATCTATTTCAGACAAATTGTATGGTACTTTACAGTCGACTGTACTGATGATGGTAAGGTAGAAACGTCTCTTAATCAAAATGCTATACCACTGTATCACGTTATTTTTAAGTAATTAATTTGAATTACTTCATAAGACCTTATGGCATTTTGATTAAACGTGTAATGTCCTTGAATTGATTTTAAATTGCGCCCCTGTCGAATGTAAAAGGGCCGAAATAATTGATACCCATCGTAAATGTCAGGTAACTAAAGTACACGCCGGTAGCCACGAGCCATTTGGTCACAGATATCAAGTGGGCGATATAGTTGGATGTTTCATTGACGTCGCAGACCGAACGATCAGTAAGAGTCAAGATTTTCCAATAGCCGATCTATAATAGGTCCACTATACTTTCTTTGAGTTTTCTCGTCGCTACTGTTGTCTTTGTCTCTATATGTTCCTTTTCATGTTGACTTGGTTGTTTCTTTTCTTTTGTTCTCTGCGTTTCCTTGTACCAAGGTCGAACGAAATCGATGGAAATTTCACTGAAAAGGTGTGGCTTGACCTTTTTTCTCGATCGCGACGGGATCATTTATCGCAAGAAAATTGTACAGTGTAAAAAAAGAAAAGCAAATACAGATCTTTCGTTACTACCCTTTGTTCGTATCTGAAGTATCATCCACTCACGAAGGACTTTGTATCGTTAGATAGTTACCATGGATCGCGTAGAATCACGAGCAAAGTATGTTGAATTGGTGAAATTTTATTTTAAAGGAGGAAAAAGTATACTCGGGCACAGCCGAGACATTTGGCAAACAATGGCAGGTTGGAGACGTTGTCGGGGTTTTCCTGGATCTAATTGACCGAACGATTAGTAAGACGGAATCTTTAAACGAACGCTTCAGCTGCCATTTAATTACAAGCTATTACGTACACATAGAATTTGATCCAAGAGATAGATTACTGGATACAGAAATTGCAAACACGAATATGCACGTAAAGATTCCATATCAACCATATTTTATAATTGAATAAAACCGGAATTTTGATATTTCTTTTTTTTTCACGAATTCGTTTTCAGTTTACCCGAAAAATGTAATTTACGACATTAATCGTCGCGTCATAATTTGTACAGCCGATGCGAGTGTTGTTTTGCTTGATCATCCAAATTTTGCAAGAGAAGTGAATCTACTTCTGATAATCGCTTTTGCAAAACGAGCAAGTATTCGCTGTTGTAAATTATTCTCTTTCTCTCTCTGTCATATCATCGCAGCAACGCTTTCATGTACATATTTGTTGAAGTCTCGTCGCACAATCAACCTACATATCATGGTGTTTTTTAATAAAATCGCAGTGGTATCATGTCTGTCTATTGTATATTTTCTTTTGTTTTTTTCGTATCCAGTATTCTACTCAGTGTTGTGCTGTCAGATGCTTTCACATTTCATCTAATTCATATTTATTAATCATTAATTAAATATGATTCCAAATTACTGCAAGATTATTCAGAAATTTACTACAAATAACAATGGATGGTTTTGAGGGAACGCGCCTTCGCAATGTATTTACACCTTTCTATTTCTATTTCTTCGTCACAACTTTCCTATAAATTTTATTCATTAATTTTTTTTTTATTATAATTCCTAGAAACAATTTCACCTTACGTTTGTGTTCTAATATTTCACACCACTTTCTGTCACTACTGTATGCATGCATAACGTTTCACTGAAATTATTTTCGCACCTGCTTTTGCATAATTGTATATAATTGTATTATATTTATATGTATTCAAGATTGTTGCTCGTTAGTTAATTGTACAATGCTTCAGTATCTCGTCACTGAGTTTCCAGATTCCTAACTTAAATAATCACCAGCCTTGTCGAAATTAATGTTTGCAGTATTGAAAGTATATCTTTGTCCGATGAATCGTTCTTTTGCTAGTAGTATTTACAATAAACTTCATTATCCAGGCTTTTCTCTGAATGGAGAATTGTTAATGGATGCACTCGGTGGCGAAACATCGTTCGCGGACGTGCAAGGGGACTCTTTTGTCCCAGCTTTCACACTTGGAGTCGGACAGAGGGCAAAATTAACTTTTGGTCAGGATGTGAACACCCTGAAGTTCTTCACGACCTGTGGTTTGCAAGAAGGATACGAACCATTTTGCGTGTACGTAAATACATAAGCGCCAATATCATTGAATGCGTTCACTGTTCAATTAATGAATCAACATCGCTTTAATCATCTCAGGAATATGAATCGACCGGTTACCTACTGGTACACGAAGGATCAACCGATCTTCGAGAACACAGACGACATGGCTGACACCAGGATAGATGTAGCCCGAATTCCAGCTGGTTCTGACACTCCGCCGTGCTTAAAAATCTCCCATAACACGTTTGAAACCATGGAGAAAGCGAACTGGGAATTTCTACGGTTATCCTTGCCAGTTATCTGCCAATCGACCTTCGTGTCCGAAAGCGAAAAGTTACGAAGATGGCAGGAAATTAAAATGCGACAGAACAGATTATTGTCTGAACAGGTGGAACAATCGCAACAAGCCGCACCTTCTGCCCACATGGAGCAGATCATGAGATCTGGTTTCAGTATGAGCGACATCAAAGGTTGACATTCTTTAATGACGTTAATTTGTCTGGATATGATGAGAACGAATTTGATCACCTTCCATTTGAAATTCTGTTCATTTTAGGATTACAGAGGAACTACTCGGAGGATGCGGTTGAGGCTGACGAAATGATGAAGGAATCACCGCTCCCAATGCAAAGGAACAAACCTGCGAGACCACCCAGAAAAGGATCTGTTTATGGATCTCGGCAAGGAAACATGGAGAACGCCATCAGCGAAGTCGATATGAATGGATATGGCGACATGAACGGCGACGTGAAGGATGACAAGAAGAAACGAGGGCGTTCGCCATTCCGGTTAGTATTTCAATTCAATTTCTTCTACAAGCTTGTATAAGCTATGTTCGATATGAACAAACTCTGATATCTAATCTTGTTAACAATCTTAGCAAAGACACAGAGGATGCCTCGTAAGTTAAATTAATCAACCGTGATCCATCAAATCGATTCAAACTTCCTTGGTAACGAATCCTTGCATCTAGTGAACAAAATAATTTCTCAAATAAATTTTGTAGGTTCTTCTCGCGTAAAGCGAAGTCTCCTGATGCGAAAGCGAAAACGCCCGAACCACCTGTACGATCCGACGTGTCCGACAAAAGCACCAAGACCTTACCGATGAACAAAGCAAGTAGTCGGCCTCCCCAAGTTCGCATATCAAATGTAATAAAAACACTTATTTTATTTATTTATTTGTCTGTCATTGTCCAATTGTGTCATTTCATACAGTCATTGCCGATTCAAGTACACCGAGTGAATGAATCACTGTTTTCCACAGATGGATTTGAAGGTAGTGCCACCACAGATCCCAGAACGCAACGCACCAAAAGCAATGTCGGTTCTCAGTGGATCCGGGGTCGAGTCGATCGGAAACGAAATATACGACGCGGAATGCTTAAAACTGATGAACGAATACTTCTACGGAGTGAGGATTTTTCCTGGACAGGATCCAACTCACGTATACGTTGGTTGGGTCACTTCTCAGTATCATTTGCACACGAAGGACTTTAATTTGTCCCGCGTGAGAAAGGGCTCTGTCGTTATCACCGACGATTATGAACGTCCAGTAGAACAGTACGTCCTAATGCTATGTTCAATCTTTAGAATTAACTTCTAGAATTCAGAAGGTATCGTGTCATTCAAATGACAGAGCATAGATGAAGAAAATATGATTGAATTTCAGGGTCGATAGACAGAGTTGTTACATGGTGAGAGCAGACGAGCTATACAACGAGGTAACGCAGGACGCATCCGGCAAAGGTGCGTCTCAAGGAATGTTCGTGGGTTGTTTCGTGGACACAGCGACAGGTTGGGTCTCCTTCACCTGCGAGGGCAAGGAAACCAGCCACAAATTCCGGATGGAACCCGACACGAAATTGTTCCCTGCTATCTTCGTTGAAGCTACCAGCAAGGAGATCCTTCAGATCGAACTAGGAAGAACTTCCACGACCTTACCACTGTCTGCTGCGGTGTTACAAAATTCAGAACGCCATGTAATACCACAATTTCCACCTAGATTGAAGGTGCAATGTCTGAAGCCTCATCAGTGGGCTAGAGTACCCAATCAGTCGCTCCAGGTACACGCCTTGAAATTGTCAGATATCAGAGGTTGGTCGATGTTGTGCGAAGATGCGATATCAATGCTAGCTTTGCACATTCCTGAAGAGGACAGGTGTATAGATATCTTGGAACTAATAGAAATGGACAAACTGCTGAGGTAAAATTACGTTTCTTTCTCTACGAAGTATAGTGTGCTCTGTTTGAAAGTGATTCTCAAGACTGGGATTTGTTCAATGTTCACAGCTTCCACGCCCATACTTTGACACTGTACGCGGCCCTCTGTTATCAGTCAAATTATAGAGCAGCCCACGCTCTATGTCAACACGTCGATCAAAAACAATTACTATACGCAATTCGAGCGGAATACATGTCCGGGCCCCTACGACAAGGATTCTACGACTTGCTAATCGCTTTGCATCTCGAGTCACACGCGACCACGATGGAAGTGTGCAAGAACGAATACATTATTCCTTTAGGTACGTTCTCGAAGCTACGATATTCAAATGCAACGAAGATTCATGGATCTAAGAAATAGATTGTTTCTTCTGCAATAGGTCAAGAGCTGAAGGACTTGTACGAAGACGAAGAAATGAAGCACAGCCTCAGGTACCTGGAAACCGAGTCCGTTCGTCCTCAAATGAAAATGACGGATATCAGGTAAGTAATTACGATCCGAAGTTACACATGAACACTATGACTAATGGTCGACATCAAGGGAAATTCCTTCTAGCGATCAAACGATCGAGAACATAAGGAGCCTCTACAGCCCTCATTTCCCCTTGGACGTCGTGAGGGATTACGTGATGATGGCCTTGAACGAGGCCGTCGAAGTGAATCAAGTTCACAACCGAGATCCTATCGGTGGCAGCAACGAGAATCTATTCCTGTATGTAATATCACGATACGCACGTGCACGCCTGAGCTGCTCTGCGCACTTTATGTCTTCGTCAACGATAATGTGAACGAAAGAAGAAGAATGCTAACAGGATACTTTGCACTGCTTGCTGATGCACTTTTCCATTTCTTCGTAAACCGTGTATTTAGATAATTGTTGTTCATTACAGGCCACTTTTGAAGCTCGTCGATAGGTTACTCTTGGTGGGTATGCTGAGGAACGAGGATATCATGAAGCTTCTAATCATGATTCATCCTGAAACGTGGGACCCGACGTTTGACAAAGGTAGATACTATCTTTTGATCAACGCGTTTGCTATCGGCATTTAATTTACAACGCGTGGATGAAAAATTGCAGAAGGTAAAGACGAACACAAGAAGGGATTGCTACATATGAAGATGGCAGAGGGAGCGAAGTTACAGATGTGCTATCTTCTTCATCATCTGAACGACATCCAGCTTCGTCATCGCGTCGAATCGATAATCGGCTTCAGCCACGACTTTGTCGGCGATCTGCAGTCCGATCAACTTCGTCGTTACATCGAGATCAAACAATCTGATCTGCCATCGGCTGTAGCGGCGAAGAAGACCAGAGAATTCAGGTGTCCGCCTCGCGAGCAGATGAACGCGATTTTAAGCTTCAAAAACATGGAATCCGCGGACGATCCTGACAACATTCCTTGCGGAGAGGATCTGATAAACCGAATGAACGAGTTCCACAACAATCTCATGTCTTACGTGTCTCTGCACGCTCTTCAGGAGGCGGCCGATGCTGAGAACGAGCCTATAGAAGAAGTTCAGAAACCTGGCGCCATAAAGAAGCTGTTCAACTTCATTAATGCGGTTAAAGAACTCGAAGAGGAACCCAAACCGGAGCCGGAACCACAAAGAAAAACTCCAGAAGGTAAAATTACATCCTAAAGTTTCTAAAAGTTCACGAATATCACCTAGATCAGCAAAATGTTTTTTTATTTCGCAGAGGTGTTCCGTAAGGTGCTGATAAAAACAATCGTCAGCTGGGCTGAAGAATCACAAATCGAGACACCAAAGTTGGTCCGAGAGATGTTTAGCCTCTTAGTTCGTCAATATGATACCGTTGGCGAGTTAATTAGAGCCCTAGAAAAGACTTATGTGATTAACAGCAAGACAAGGGACGATGTCGCCCTGATGTGGGTCGGTTTGAGCCAGATTCGTGCTTTACTACCCGTGCAAATGTCTCAAGAAGAGGAGGAACTAGTCAGAGAACGACTCTGGAAGCTGGTGAACAATCATACGTTCTTCCAGCATCCAGATTTAATCAGAGTCCTAAGAATTCATGAAAATGTGATGGCGATCATGATGAACACCTTAGGTAGACGAGCACAGGCACAATCTGATGCTCAAACTCAGCCTCAAACAACAGAAGGCGAACCAGCTTCGAAAGAAAAGGATACATCTCACGAGATGGTTGTAGCCTGCTGTAGATTCCTGTGCTACTTCTGTCGTACATCCAGACAGAATCAGAAGGCCATGTTCGATCACTTCGACTTCCTACTGGAGAACAGTAACATCTTGTTGTCAAGACCATCTTTGAGGGGCTCGACGCCATTGGACGTGGCTTATTCGTCTCTTATGGAGAACACAGAACTAGCTTTGGCTCTCAGAGAACACTATCTCGAAAAGATTGCCATCTATCTGTCTCGTTGTGGTTTGCAATCGAATTCTGAACTGGTGGAGAAAGGTTATCCTGATCTGGGATGGGACCCAGTGGAAGGTGAACGATACTTGGACTTTTTAAGATTCTGCGTGTGGGTGAACGGTAAGTTTTTCGGTAAAAGTTTGTAAGAGTTTCGAGTGTTAACGATTGGTGGATGATTTTTTAGGTGAAAGTGTGGAAGAAAATGCCAACCTGGTGATACGTTTACTGATCAGAAGACCGGAATGTTTGGGACCTGCACTTCGGGGCGAAGGTGAAGGGTTGTTGAGGGCCATTATAGACGCCAATAAAATGTCTGAACGCATTGCTGACCGACGACAAGTAAGATCTATACATATAGAAATTTTCAACCCTACATTGCAGGATAGTACTCAGTCTTCCGTCAACTTAATTTATAAAATAGGTACACGACGAAGCCGAGGGCACAACGAGCGTGATGCAATTCGAGCATCCCCTTCCAGAATCAGACGACGACGAAGACTACATAGACACAGGAGCTGCGATCCTGAACTTCTATTGTACTTTGGTCGATCTCTTAGGCCGTTGCGCTCCGGATTCTTCTGTCATCGAACAAGGTAAGTGTCATCGGCACTATCAATCACGATTTCACTTCTTCTTCGCGAATACCATCGCTCGATAAAAAAGACTCACTTTGTTATCTAAACGAACGAAGCAAACACGAACATTTTCATAGTCAAAGCACTTCATAATTCCACAGTAAATCGTAATTCAAAGAGAACACGATTTATCTAATAAGAGTGTTTATTTTTTGACGAGCAACAGAGGCTTCTACAGAATCCGTTGGTAATATACACGAAATGAAACTATCCTTTCTATGTAATTGTAAGAATTTCATGAACTCGTAAAGTTCAAATGAAATATGTTTATCAGGGAAGAACGAGTCTCTACGAGCGAGGGCCATTTTACGATCCCTGGTACCATTGGATGATCTACAGGGTGTTTTATCGTTGAGATTCACTCTGTTGAACCCAGCAGCTGGTGAAGAGAAACCAAAAAGCGATATGCCATCGGGTTTAATCCCGGGGCACAAGCAAAGCGTCGTACTGTTTCTGGAACGCGTTTATGGCATCGAAACGAGGGAGCTGTTCTTCAAAATACTCGAGGAAGCTTTCTTGCCTGATCTTAGAGCTGCCACCATGCTCGACAGAGTACGTCGATGAAAATTAACATTTAGACACGAATGGAATCATAAATTTTAAATTTCGATTTTCGATTCAGAACGATGGCTACGAGTCTGACATGGCATTGGCGATGAACCGTTACATTGGAAACAGTATTCTACCTCTACTGATCAAGCATTCCAAGTTTTATAACGAGGCAGATAATTACGCTAGCCTCCTCGATGCCACACTGCACACTGTCTACAGATTGAGCAAGAACAGGATGCTGACGAAAGGTCAACGTGAAGCCGTATCGGACTTCCTCGTGGCATTGACCAGGTAAGCACGATTGTTCACAACGTATCGATAAGATGATTAACGGAATCGTTTTGTTGCTTAACAAGAGACGTCCACGAGTTAAATGTCTCGTAAGTCTTATTACCACTACCTTAAACCGCTAATTCTCGCCTCTTAATAAATCGCAGTAAAAATCGTAGTAAAAATTGCTTTCAGAATAATTCACGTTTCATCCGAATAAATAATTGTTCTTTAATCTAATTTTCTGTTTAGCCAAATGCAACCAAGCATGCTGTTGAAACTGCTTCGAAAGTTGACCGTAGACGTGTCCAAACTGTCTGAATACACGACCGTCGCTCTCAGAGTAAGTAATTTGACTGAATAAAACTTTCCTTTTACGAAATGGAGATGAATCATGATTTTCTATAATAGTTGTTGACCCTGCACTACGATCGGTGCGCTAAATATTATGGGTCAACCGGTGGACAAGGAGCATACGGTGCATCGAGCGACGAAGAGAAACGTCTAACCATGGTGCTCTTCAGCAACATATTCGACTCGTTGTCCAAGATGGATTACGATCCAGAATTATTCGGAAAAGCCTTACCTTGTCTCACAGCCATCGGTTGTGCCCTGCCACCTGATTACTCGTTGTCCAAAAACTATGACGACGAATGGTACGGAAGTAAATCAGCATCCACGCAGTCGCCTGATGGTCCTTACAATCCTCAGCCAATCAACACCTCGAGGTATTACAACTTCCTGGAACCAAATGAAAAATAATTTAAATTTCTAGAAATTAATGATTTTTTAAATATTTTATGTAGTGTGGTTCTCAATAACGATCTAAATCAGATAGTACAAAAGTTCTCGGAACATTATCACGATGCTTGGGCCAGTCGTAAACAAGAGAATGGTTGGACTTATGGGGAACAATGGTCTGAAATCAATAAGACTCATCCCAGATTGAAACCTTATAATATGCTGAACGATTATGAGAGAGAACGTTATAAGGAACCGGTTAGAGAGAGTTTGAAAGCTTTGTTGGCTATAGGATGGAGCGTCGAACACGCGGAAGTGGATGTATCTTCTACGAATCGTAGTTCCATGAGGAGATCATCGAAAAGTCAGGTAAATATGTAGAAGAAAGCAAGTGTAGATGATTTTTACAGTTCACTAGCTTGTGGACTAGGTTGTTGCCACAATGTTTCAGAGTGATTCGGGAAATCCGTTCAACTACAATCCTCATCCGGTGGACATGACCAACCTGACGCTCAGCAGAGAAATGCAGAACATGGCCGAACGTTTGGCGGACAATGCACATGATATATGGGCGAAGAAGAAGAAAGAAGAGCTCATAACTTGTGGTTCGTGTTAATCGAGCAAATTAACCCCGTATCTTAAAATTAACAGAACAAATTGGAATTGAGCAATTTATGTCGTCAACAGGTGGTGGCATTCATCCTCAATTGGTACCATACGATTTGCTGACTGACAAGGAGAAACGAAAGGACCGGGAACGTTCTCAGGAATTCCTCAAGTATCTACAGTATCAAGGTTACAAGCTCCACAAGCCGAATCGAGGAGGGGAATCTGAAGTTGCCACAGCTGGAGCGTCAGTGGAATTACGGTTCGCCTATTCGTTACTGGAGAAACTGATAGCCTACTTGGACAAGGCTACCATCAACATGAAGCTGTTGAAACCATCCGACACGTTCAGCCGAAGGAACAGCTTCAAGACGTCCACGCGAGACATCAAGTTCTTCAGCAAAGTCGTGCTACCGTTGATGGAGAAGTACTTCAGCACGCATAGGAATTACTTCATCGCCGTGGCCACAGCCACGAACAACGTCGGTGCTGCGTCGTTGAAGGAGAAGGAAATGGTAGCAGCTCTGTTCTGCAAATTGGCTAGTCTCTTAAGATCCAGGTTGGCCGCTTTCGGACCAGACGTCAGGATCACTGTCAGATGTCTTCAAGTCTTGGTCAAGGGCATAGACGCGAAGAGTTTGGTAAAGAATTGTCCCGAGTTCATTAGAACCTCTATGCTGACCTTCTTCAACAACACCGCGGACGATCTGGGACACACGATCCTGAATCTTCAAGAGGGAAAATACAGCCATCTGAGAGGTACCCATTTGAAAACTTCGACGTCCTTGTCGTACATCAACAGCGTCGTTTTACCAGTACTCACAGCCATGTTTGATCATCTGGCTGCTTGCGAGTACGGCAGTGACTTGTTGCGTAAGTAAACAGTTATCAAACTGGATTTATTTATCATCCATGATAGACAAGAGTTAATTCGTCTACTTTTCTTTTAACAGTGGACGAAATTCAAGTGGCATCGTACAAGATGCTGGCGTCTCTGTACACTCTCGGTGTAGACTCTTCCCTGACGCACGACAGAAAGTACTTGAAGACAGAGATCGAGCGTAACAAGCCTAACTTAGGCTCTTGTCTCGGTGCTTTCTCCAGCTGCTTCCCAGTGGCCTTTCTGGAGCCTCATTTGAACAAACACAATCAGTTTTCTCTTCTAAATCGAATCGCTGATCATTCCTTGGAGGCGCAGGATATCATGACGAAGATGGAGTCGAGCATGCCCACCCTGGAGACGATTCTAACAGAGGTCGACCAGTTTGTGGAATCCGACAAAACCTACAACGATCTTCCTCACGTAGTTGACGTGATTCTTCCTCTACTTTGCTCCTATTTGCCCTTCTGGTGGGCTCAAGGTCCAGACAACGTAAATCCAACCGAGGGAACTTACGTTAGCATGGTCACTAGCGATCACATGAACCAGCTATTGAAAAATGTTCTCAAATTGATCAAGAAGAACATCGGCAACGAGAATGCTCCCTGGATGACTCGTATCGCTGCCTACACCCAACAGATCATCATCAACTCTTCGGAAGAGTTATTGAAAGATCCTTTCTTGCCACTTGCTGAACGAGTTAGAAAACGTACGGATAATATGTTCCACAAAGAAGAGTCCCTTCGTGGTTTCATTAAATCGTCGACCGATGACACGTCACAAGTTGAAGCACAGATTCAAGAGGACTGGCAACTTTTGGTTCGCGATATTTACTCGTTCTATCCTCTGTTGATCAAGTATGTTGATCTGCAGAGGAATCATTGGCTCAGAAACAACATTCCTGAAGCGGAGGATCTTTACAACCACGTGGCCGCGATATTTAATATCTGGTCTAAATCACAGTACTTTTTGCGCGAGGAACAGAATTTCATATCAGCGAACGAGATTGATAACATGGTGCTGATCATGCCTACAGCGACTAGGAGACCTACCACCATTTCGGATGGAACCGCACCTTCTGGAGGAGGCAAGGTTAGTAACGAATGGTAGCCATTTATGTTTAGAGAGCATTCCTTAAAATATTCTGATCCACAGAAAAAGAAGAAACATCGCGACAAGAAGAGGGACAAAGACAAAGAAGTGCAGGCATCGTTGATGGTAGCCTGTCTGAAGAGACTGTTACCAGTTGGTCTGAATTTGTTCGCTGGTCGTGAACAGGAACTGGTACAACATTGCAAGGACAGATTCTTGAAGAAGATGCCGGAGTACGAGATTGCTGAATTCGCCAAGACCCAGTTAACACTGCCAGACAAGATCGACCCAGCTGACGAAATGTCCTGGCAGCATTATCTGTATTCCAAGTTAGGTCAGAAGAAAGACTCGATGGAACCAGTGAAAGCACAACAGTTAGAGGATGTCGTTGCAAGGATCACCGACATGGCTAAAGTTCTCTACGGTTTACACATGGTAAGTGGAAAATGATTATCAATGATGATTACTTCGCGTATACATATTGTGATCATTCTTTCTTGGATAGTTCGAATAATTTCTAGATACAATGAGTTCGATTCATTTAACGATTCTATGTTTTCGAGTAGATAGATCATCCGCAACAGCAGAGCAAGGGTCAATATCGATCCGTGGTATCGATACAACGTAAACGAGCCGTGATTGCTTGTTTCCGTCAAACTTCCCTACATTCCCTGCCCAGGTATCCTTTTTTCAGTTTCTTGAGTTTGTTCCTTACAGTTTTCTTGTGTACACTATCATAATTCATTCTGGTTCACTTTTCGTTACGTTCATAATTACCAACGAACCGATAACCATTTATCTCGATGATTTTGATGTTCACTGTGTAACGGCTTGTGTAAAAGTGACAAACACTAACCGTTAATTAGCGTTGATGCTATTTGTAGTTATTTGTTAGTGATCTAACAAGGATAGTTGTGTGTGCATGCTGCTAAAAGGCAACAAAACCTCCACCATCTCACGGTGGATGGAAGCGCGTGTTGTGTGCAGCGAGAAAAAGAGCAGCGATTGCATGTCTACGTAGCGAACCACTTTACAAATTACGAAGGTAAAGTGATGGTTTAATTGCATGATCATATATCGTGAAGGATGGACAACATTGAAGCTTAAATTTCGTTTCAGGCATCGGGCTATAAACATCTTTGCACGAACGTACTACGAGCTCTGGTTGCAGGACGAGAATGTTGGTCAAGAAGTGATGATTGAAGACCTTACGGTAAACATTTAAACTACAACTATTTATGAATGACTTTCGAGATACTCAATGTATCTCTATTGCTTTCAAGCAATCATTCGAAGACGCGGAATTGAAGAAGATGGACAAAGACGAGGACGAGAGTAAACCAGATCCGCTCACGCAACTGGTAACAACGTTCTGTCGCGGTGCCATGACCGAACGGTCCGGTGCTCTTCAAGAAGATCCATTGTACATGAGTTACGCCCGAATTATATCAAAGTCTTGCGGAGAGGAAGAAGAAGAAGGCGAGGACGAAGGTGGAGGTGGCGAAGAAGAAGGAGGTGCCTCGATCCACGTAAGTGTTCACGATATTCTTAGGATAAACTTGAACCTTCTACTGACGAAACTCTTGAAACTATCAGTTGAACCAGTTGATATTCTTCTTAACAATTTCGTATGTTTTTCTCGCGTACTAACCCTGTAGAAGCGGGGCTATAAGCCACTTATGGTAAGAACAGCCGTTTGCGGAAATTCAATTGCTTCTATACTTGTTATGCTGATGCCAAATGCAAAGTAAATCGACAAACCTAGCATATCATCGTAGGACAATAGTTTACCTTTACCAAAGTTTACCCTGTAATTAAACACACGTACGTGTGAAACTTGTACATATGCTTGCATCGAAGGTGGCCGTATCCCTCATCACTTTTCAAGATTAATTGCAATTCCATCCCATTACATATACTCAACAATAATTATTCATAAACCATTTGAATGTCACTAACAGATTCTTTGGTGTCCTTTTTTTTTAATGCTTACCTAAAGCGACCGATGCATAAACTGATGGTAAGGCTTGAAATCTTTAAATTTTTAATAAATTGGATTTTTAATGATTTACTGATATTCGTGCAGGAACAAGAAATGGAGAAGCAAAAGCTTCTGTTCCATCAAGCTCGTCTTGCGAACCGAGGGGTGGCTGAGATGGTACTGCTTCATATATCAGCCTGCAAAGGTCTACCCAGCGAGATGGTGATGAAGACCTTGGAATTAGGGATTTCCATTTTGCGTGGTGGTAACATAGAGATTCAACGAGGAATGCTGAACCACTTGAAGGAGAAGAAGGACGTGGGTTTCTTCACTTCCATCGCTGGTCTAATGAACTCTTGCAGCGTGTTGGATTTAGATGCGTTTGAAAGGAACACGAAAGCGGAAGGTCTTGGAGTTGGTTCCGAGGGTGCTGCTGGAGAGAAGAACATGCACGACGCAGAGTTCACCTGTGCATTGTTCAGATTCATCCAACTTACATGCGAGGGTCACAATCTAGGTACGTTCATCTCTTTAAATTATCAAACAAAATTATGTAGGATAAAAGAATGTAACGAATGTGCTATTATTTTTTATAGACTGGCAGAATTATCTTAGAACCCAAGCTGGTAACACAACAACAGTGAACGTGGTCATCTGCACCGTCGATTATCTGTTACGACTTCAAGAATCCATCATGGATTTCTACTGGCACTACTCCAGCAAGGAACTCATCGACCCAGCCGGAAAAGCGAATTTCTTCAAAGCCATAGGCGTTGCCAGTCAAGTCTTTAACACCCTTACTGAAGTTATTCAAGGTCCTTGCGCACAGAATCAACAGGCACTCGCACATTCTCGATTATGGGACGCAGTCGGTGGATTCCTCTTCTTGTTTTCTCATATGCAAGACAAATTATCGAAACATTCGAGCCAAGTGGACCTCCTGAAGGAACTGCTGAATCTTCAGAAAGACATGATCACCATGATGCTTTCCATGCTTGAAGGTATGATATTTCAAATTAATGAAATCATTTTGAACGGTGTTTCATCATTATTTTTGTCATTGCAGGTAACGTTGTGAATGGAACCATTGGAAAACAGATGGTGGACACTTTGGTGGAGTCTGCGGGCAACGTCGAGCTGATCCTGAAGTATTTCGACATGTTCTTGAAGTTGAAGGACCTCGTGTCGTCGCCTAGTTTCTTAGAGGTGGATCTGAACAGCGATGGTTGGGTGTATCCGAAGGATTTCAAAGAGAAAATGGAGCAACAGAAGAGTTACACCGAGTAAGTATCTTGAATTCTATTTTCTTATTCAAGAATCATAACAAAAAATGTTTTCAGCGAGGAGATTGAGTTTCTGTTGGCTTGTTGCGAGACGAATCACGACGGGAAGATCGACTACGTTGCGTTCATGGATCGTTTCCACGAGCCAGCAAAAGAAATCGGCTTCAATCTTGCTGTTCTACTCACCAATCTGTCTGAACACATGCCGAATGAACCCAGACTGGCTAGGTTCCTCGAGACAGCTGGCTCTGTACTGAACTACTTCGAACCGTTCCTTGGCAGGATCGAGATTCTCGGTGGAAACAAGAAGATCGAGAGAGTGTACTTCGAGATCAAAGAGTCCAACATCGAACAATGGGAAAAGCCTCAAATCAAAGAATCGAAGAGGACCTACTTCTACAACACTGTGGTGGAAGCTGGCGAGAAAGAAAAATTGGAAACGTTCATTAACTTCTGTGAAGATGCCATCTTTGAGATGCAACACGCTAGTGCATTGATGGCTGTTGAAGAGAGTGGTGGAATCGGAAAAGCGAGAGAATCCTCTTACACGTACATGTCAGAAGACGATGAAGAAAGGAACAAGGATCCCATCAGAAGAGGCATTCAGACCTTCAAGGACGGTATATACTTCTTCTTCTCTATATTCTCTCCCAGCAACATCAAGAACAAGATCGCAGAGATGCAACAGATGACTTTCTTGGAACTCTTCATTGGCTTTTTCAAAATGATATTCTACTCTTTCTACTATTCTGGATTCGGTGTTGGTTGTGTGATCAGCTACTTCATGAGATTGTTACTGGCGTTGATGAAGGGACCACACGTGGAAGAGCCTGTCGTCGAGGTGAAGGAAGAGGAAGAGAAACCGTCCAGACATTTACCTGCTTTACCACCAACGCCGGATGAATCCAATCTACAGGTATAAACCGTGAAAATCTCAAAACTATCAGCAGAGAAATGACAACAGGAAATGTAATTTTTTAACTTCTGCACAGGTACAAGCCTTCGGAATGGATATAACGAAAGAAGAAGGAGGCCAGATAAAAATAGCACCTCACGAATCTGCAACTTCGACACCCCAGTCGAGTATAGAGGAAACTGGTGAGAGTACACCGGAAGAAGCAACTGGCGAGGACGGTACAAGGGTCGAAGGTGGCGGGGAATCGGAAACACCAGTTTCTTTGGCCGATTTATTGGGGTATGGTTAAATATTATATGTATTTCTCTCTAATTTCAATTTATACTCCGAATTACTATCTTCGTTTGTTCTTAAACAGTGGTGAACAAGCTAGAGCTCAAGCAGCAGCCGCAGCGGAAGCAGCAGCAGCTCAACAAGCAGCCATGGCAGCAGTCGAAGCTGAAGCGAAACAGGAAACGATAACGGAACCATCCGGCTCTTCCATCGACTTTTCCGAATACACCCACCGAATTGTATCGTTCTTAGCTAGGAATTTCTACAACTTGAAATATGTGGCTCTAGTTCTCGCTTTCTGTATCAATTTCATGTTGCTGTTCTACAAGGCAGGTTTACCAATCTTCATACTAACGATGGATTATTATCTCGTGTTATATAATCAATTATTTCATCACAGGTTTCTTCTTTGGCTGGCGATGGGGACGAAGAGGGCAGTGGTGATGCAATAGCTGACATATTGGCAGACATATCTGGCGAAGGGCCATCCGGTTCCGGGAATGGTAGTGGCGTGGAAATGGGAAGCGGTAGCGGAGAGAACGAGTCTGAAGAAGAGGAAGACGTGTACGCTTTGGAATATGTTGAAGTTGCAGAAGATTTCTACTACATGGCACACGTTATGAGGCTCATGGCTGCTCTTCACTCGATCGTTTCTCTTGCTATGCTGGTCGCTTACTATCATTTGAAGGTATGCCACAAAATTGTTTAATTAATATCATGAAGGTACACCTTAATCATTCTGACTAACAATGTGATTTAGGTACCGTTGGCAATCTTCAAACGGGAAAAGGAAATCGCAAGAAGGGTAGAATTCGATGGACTCTACATTGCTGAGACACCGGAAGAAGACGACATCAAGGCTCACTGGGACAAAATGGTGATATCGGCGAAAACATTCCCCGTTAATTATTGGGATAAATTCGTTAAGAAGAAAGTGAGACAGAAGTACAGCGAGACGTACGATTTTGATTACATCAGTAATTTACTTGGCATGGAGAAGACTTCGTTTAGTCAGCAAGAGGAAGAGGGTTCTGGTTTGATACACTTGTGAGTAATTAACTTTTTAATTAATTACGAAGAAACTTCAGTGAGCCTTATAAAATTTCATTTTCTTTCAGTATCGTAAACATCGACTGGAGGTATCAGGTTTGGAAAGCAGGGGTCACCATCACTGATAACGTGAGCAAACTAATCTCAGTGTGAACGAAGTTTTAGATCTTCTATGTTTAATTCCGTGTATTGTTTTCCTTCAGGCATTTTTGTACAGTTTATGGTACTTCATATTCTCTATCCTTGGAAATTATAACAACTTTTTCTTCGCTGCTCACTTGCTGGACGTCGCGGTTGGTTTCAAAACGCTGAGGACGATCTTGCAATCCGTCACACACAACGGCAAACAACTGGTGTTAACGGTGATGTTGTTGACGATCGTCGTGTACATCTACACGGTGATAGCCTTCAACTTCTTCAGGAAGTTTTACATTCAAGAAGAGGATGATGAAGTGGACAAGAAGTGTCATGACATGTTAACGGTATGACTTAGGAAGATTATGTCGTAGACTTCTATGAAATCAAAAATTAAATTTTTATCTGTTTCGGTTCCAGTGCTTCGTGTTCCATCTTTACAAAGGTGTCAGAGCTGGTGGTGGTATCGGTGACGAAATCGGTGAACCTGACGGCGATGATTACGAAGTCTATCGTATCATGTTCGACATCACATTCTTCTTCTTCGTCATCGTCATTCTGCTGGCTATCATTCAGGGTAAATTTGCAACAAGTTCCACCCTAGACTTGCAGCTCTTTCTTAACTTCTTTTATAATTTGTCATTTCGCTTCAGGTTTGATTATCGACGCGTTCGGTGAACTTCGAGACCAGCTCGAGAACGTGAAAACAAATATGGAGAGCAATTGTTTCATCTGTGGTTTAGGAAAGGAATACTTCGACACAGTCCCTCATGGATTTGATACGCACGTTCAGCAAGAGCATAATCTTGCTAATTATATGTGAGTTATCGTTAGGATCAACCTTTTTAAAAACATTCCAAATGATTAACTATCATGATTAACTATTCACAGGTTCTTCCTCATGCACTTGATCAACAAGCCGGACACCGAATACACCGGTCAAGAAACGTACGTGTGGAACATGTATCAGCAAAGGTGTTGGGACTTCTTCCCGGTCGGTGATTGTTTCCGCAAGCAGAACGAAGCGGTAGAGGAAGAGGCCAAGAAGAAATAAATCTTTTTCATTCGTTTTACACGTACCTAGATGACCAATCGATCATTACCAAAGGGATCCTTTCCCGATACCTCTTCGATAATCGTAGCCTCCAATTTCTACGCGCAATGAGGAATACGTTAAGAACGATTCGACAATTTTTGCAGATTAAATCGTTTAAGAAGTTACACTCTCGTTCATCTGTCAATAGAGAAAGGAAACTAGAGAACGCGTGTGTGTGTACCTTTTACATTCGACGTTTATTATCATTATTATTCCAAGTTTAAAGACGCGAGATTTTTCACGACAATGGATCGCGCGAATCGCACGCTTTCGGCTCGAATACGAACGAGCAAACAAGCCGAGAGACTGGCGAAATATTTTTCCAACCTATTTTTCCAACTTTTTATGGATGGCTGGATATCGTGTAACCGACTATTTCCTCCTTTAGATAGGATCTAATCGCAAAGTGTTGTTAATCGTCGACAAAGGGAACCGACTGCACAAATCTACATTAATCATAAACGTTACGATTGCCTTCTTTTCATACGTCGTGTGACCACATTTGCGCGTAAATTATTTAACTGATTAACGTAATGTTTGAGATATGCAAAATGTTAAATAAGTTGATGATGTTTAAAGTTTATATGAATCACGGAGTTCTCTACGATTAGACGAGAACTTTTTAATGATCATTGACGACTGAAATCGCGATATAATCAAACATGTCAATACATTGTAAATAACGATTCTACGAGATGATTACCTGAGAATAAAGAAAGACATACTTCTTTACTTTGTCGTTTTTTTTTTTATCGTTATGGACTTCTCAATTACTATTAATTACTCCATAATTAATTTCCAATGCAACTTCCATCTAACACATTCTATGATTAAGTTCTTATCAGTAAGCTACTTTGAGATGCCACCTTCCTTATCATTCACTGGTATCTCACCCAACTCTCACCAAGGATGACGCGATTATCTTCAACACGAGCCCAACCAGAGAATCGATACAATAATCAATATTCTATATTTTAGAGATCGACAAGAAAATTTGAAAAGACTTTTTAAATTTTAAATTTCGTAAAAGTAATACACAAACCCTGAAAGATGAAAAGCTTTAACTATCATAAACAAATACAAGTATCGTTTTTATTTTGGAATATCCTTGCAATTGTCTAGTTAGATTTGATACTACTTGCAGTATATTTAAATTCCATCCCTCATCTCTGTGCTAGTCGAATGCAAAGTACGCTACCCCTATCGAACATCGATTTTTCTTCTTCCATCCACTGGAGAAAAGCGGAAGAGCAACAAGACGATGCCGTGTACCTCGTTTTCCATCGTAAAGAGGAAAAACGGCGGTCTCTGCTCGTGAAAGACCGATGGAGGGAAAGAGGTCGCGCAAGCGCCCCTCTTCTAGAGCCGGTGGTTGAACAGCCTCGGGGTGAAAATGCACCATGGCATGGGAGTGTCAGCGGGCGATCGTCGTTGCGGCGAAAATACGGCGATGCAGCCCAGAAACGGGGTTTGCGACAAGATCGAAAATTACATATCCGAGCTCGGACAATGGTACGTGAGTAAAGGATGATTGATCAATTAAAAGGACCTTCGAAAGGAAAAGCAAACGTCGATCCACCCTTGAACCGGTTGCACGGCGATGGAGTGGGTGAAGGGGGTGTCTGGGGATAAAAGTGGCGGGTGTTTACTACAAATTTCCTTGTGTAACTTTAGTGCCCGTGAAAATGATGAGTTTACTTTGTTCAACGTGTTTACGATCCTCGTTTCGATCGAAAATTAATTTATTTAATACTTTAGTCGAAAGCAGTTCAGACTTCTTCAAAATGACTTTGTATTTATTCTTTTTTTTTAATGTATGTGATCTATCGATCTATTGTTGGATTAATAATTATGTGTAATTTTTTATGAACTTTTTCTTTAAATTATGTCTCATTAAAAGAAAATTAACATTGATTTGGTACAAATAAACAAAGATAGTATCTTTGACTACCTGTGATTTCAATGGTTTTGTGTTTATTCAACTGTTCCCAGGTCGGTATGGAGGGTGATAATAATGGGACAATTTTTGTCCCTGGTTCTGTGCTTCATGACCCTTGTAAATCATCACATCAACGCCACGTATCAACTCTTGCTTCCGACCGGTAAGTTATTAATAATCGATCGCATAATTTATCGGCGAGTAGACAGATTGATCGAGAATATGATGACGGTATTACGAGCAGAATAATTTTCTGCTAAATAGGACAAAATCTTCCGCATTACATTATGATGTGCCTTGTATACACAACCTGGATGTCCTGCAGAGGTGTAGGAAACGGCCTAATTTCAGTCATAAGAGCCCGTGGATGGAGATACTTGCTGTTGGCACTCATTGACGTCGAAGCATGCACACTCATAACATCCTCGCATCAATTCACAAGCCTGGCTAGTATACAGGTATGTGTTAATGATGTCGCACGAGATTTCAGTGTTGCGTCTTCCCAAAGAGCATAAAGAAGTTTTTCATTTTTTTCACATGGTGCACTCGAGATGGCCTAGTAATTTATCCTCACTTCAAAGCTTCAGAAATAATCAAAGGTTAAAAGAAAATTTCATTTCGTGTTAATTACGAAGAACATTTTCTTAAGATCCAAAATTTTAATCGACGTACAGAATTATTATATGTTACTTATTTTCCAGCACTTATTCATTCATCTTTTCAATTTACTTTCAATTGAAACGTTTAACGTCAGTTCTTGTAACGTGAAAGCTTAAGATATGCAGAAAGACTTCCTCTATAAAAATCGTTTATATTATCGTTCATCAGTGGTACAAGTTTTGTTTGGTGCATACAATAGGGTGCAAGCGTTACAGCTTACAATAGATTCGCGTCTGTTGGCGCAACTTTCGCGGTTCGGTCGTCAATTAACCGATGTAGTATTCGCGGCGGCTGTGAATGGCAGGGGACAACCATTGTATCGAATATACAAGAGGCGGTAAAAGGAGGACACCGGGTCTTCGACCCGTCACATTCAACCCTCGTCGGCTATTCTTAATCGAAGGAGATACCAGCATCATAGACCTCGTCGTTCAATTGAATTGAATCACCTCGTGGCGTATTGAAATTTTAACGACGTAAACGAACCGCCGGTACTTAAGTAATGCTGTAAATTTTGTTTCAGCTGCTCGATTGTGTGGCTATACCAGTTGCATTGGGGCTCTCGTGCTTGGTTCTCGGTGTGCGATATCGAATGGTGCACATAGTCGGTGTCTCTGTTTGTCTGATGGGTGTAGGATGTTTGGTTTGGGCAGGAATCGACGACAATAAAGATCCTGCGTCTACAGGTGATTCTATAATAAAATCCTTTACAATCCTGACATGTTCTTAACCCTTTATATATTAATTTGCCGCGCGAAGGAAAGAATCAACTGGTTGGAGACATGCTGTGTCTCGGTGGTGCAGTGTTGTTTTCTATAACCACCGTGCTCCAGGAGTTGATCGTTAAAACGGTGGATATTATCGAATATCTGGGTATGATTGGTTTCTTCGGTACTATACTGTGCTCCATGCAAACGTAAGTATCTTACAAGGAAGCAACGATGGATACAGTAATCCTGTACTTCCATGTTAATGTTTTAGAGCTGTGCTCGAATGCACGAAGATAGAAACATTTCAATGGAACAATGCACCGGTGATCACGTTCTTGGTGGTTTATTGTATCACGCAGTTTGTATTCTTTTCTTTGGTGCCTGTTATACTGTTCGAGTCAGGAGCAACGGCATTGCATCTAGCACTGTTGACTGCCGATTATTTCAACGTCTTATTCGGCATGCTGATTCATCAATACAAGGTATCAACACTTTTTGTAAAACTAGAAAGAATTCTGTTCGTACCATTGTACTGGTTCAATAATAGAAACCTGCTTTATGCACTATACCCTTTGCATCAACAAGGTGTACGTATGGTAATAAGACTTTGTCCATTTGTTCCAGTTTCACGCATTGTATTTCGTCTCTTACACGCTCACAATGACTGGTATATACATCTACGCGATAAAGAGAACACCGATGGCGTCGACCGCCCGAAGACAACACGTCGAATCTTCTGCTCCAGATTACAGGTAATATTTACGTTTAAAAAAGTTATCATATTTTCGAGAACGTATACGTATGTATGTGTGATTGAGGATTAAAATATCAAGGAGAGAGATCAATGAGCAAAGACGTCCACAACATCTCCTGAAGAGACTAATAGAATAAGAAAACACGATTGATCTTGAAGTATCCTTAACACCTACACCTATTGATTTCCTTATTCCAACAAACGCCTTTTTAATTCTATCAAAAGCTTCATTCACTCCATTATATACCTACTATAATGACAGTCGTTTTCAACGACTATTTCCCGAAATAAGTTTCCTTAGAAATTCAGATATGAATCACCATTCATATTTTTGTACGAAATTGCCTGAATAGTTCAGAAATAATGTTCTCTAATTAAATTACTCCCACGCTAGTGACAGAAAGTTAACAAACGATCGATCATGAATTAAAGTGACGTCATTTTAAGACACATGTCACATCCTGACGTCGGAGAAGTGGAGTTGGCGACCAGTTCAGGAATGTCTGGGGTGAGTGGCACCCTAGATGTAAGGGCTTCGACCCTTGGCAGCGAAAAGGAAACAATGGATGCGACCAGTTTACCACCGAGCGTTAGCTCAGACACGGCCTTCACCTCTTTTTACGGAAGTTATTACGATTAAAGGGATATCGCGAAGGAAACGCATCGGAACGTGTAGAAAACGTAAATTTACTACAAATACGCTCTTTTTAAGAGATTTATACACGAAAATTTCCAATCGACAAATACGAAAATGTACTTTCGGTTTATACAATGTTATAGAAGTAAGAATAAAAAATATCTTCGTCGAACTAAGTTTGTAATAATCGGTCGTTTTTCTAAGAAATTCGCCGTTTTAATATCAATCGGTGGTGTATGAATGCAATCTTCGTTGTTCATTTAAATGTTTATCGAACTATAAGTATTATAAATCCTTGTTGCTCAACATACTCTGTAAGTTACAATACAGTACAACTTATTGTTGCTAGATTTAAGTATCGAAGGACGTTAACTAAGAATCGACGATTATTTTTATGATTCATCAGTTTTGTTTTCTTTCTGTGTGTATTGTATTGAATTTACATTATATTTTCCACATACGGGTTAAAAAATCATTTTTAAGTATTATGTATATTGTTTTGAAAACAAATAATAAACGAACGACAAATCAAATGCAATTGTTTTCTTAATTGTTACATCATTACATGGCTTGTCGGTATAGTGTTAATTTTCAAAACGTACCGCGCGGTCGAGCGCAGAAAACGAATGAACTGCGTTCTACAGAAAAAATGAGGAACTAAATTTTTGGTCTGTGTATACAGTTTTTAATTACACATCTATTGGCTACACTTGTTGACTGTACTTGTTGGCCACACTGTAGTAAAAATCAGTGATGAAGCCGCAATGGCGGGTTCTATAGAGATTCCGTTACGCGATACAGACGAGGTGAATATTTCTGTTCCTAATTCTCAATTTTATTATTTTTAAGGCGTCAGGAGTTAAGTAAACTGTTCCTATTGCACATCCATTAAACGCATCTTGAGATTCCTTAAAGATTCGTGATAAGAAGACCTTTCCATGAACCTAACCTTTACAAACAGGATGCTTGTCGAATACGTTGTACACATTAGATACCACTATATACATCACATTTATTTAAACACATCACAAT